CCAATGAACAACATGATCTTGACCTATCATTTGTTCAATTTGGTCGATCTGATACTTAGTTAATTCTTTTATCTTTATGTTCCCACTGATACCTAATCGATAACGAACCAGAATGGCTTTTTTAGGCCCAATTCCATCTATTTTTGTTGAGGCAATTCTGACTTGTTCATCGGCAACTGATCTAGCTCCTGAAATATATAACATTCTTGATCCTTCCTTTTACTAGTCTTCTCGGCTGGAATCAAAAAAGATTCTCCGCTCTGCTCCTACTCCTTCTTCTCCTTTAGGATAGGATCGTCGTTGGTCCTTTTTTGCACTAAAAAACTAGTCAGAGCAACTAACTGTCTACGTACGAAATTTACGGAACAGGGATAAGAAAGCAGGCGGGATAAAAGAAGAGCGAGGTATAGTGAGAAAGCTCACCCCTGCCTTTAGAGACTTCGCAAAATCAAATAGATAGCAGATGGGATTAGAGTCCTCTCTTATCCCTGTTCCGTAAATTTCGTACGCACTTTTAGTCACTCTACCTCAGCAAAGGACGTTAATCACTGGCTTGGAAATGAGAGAGGCCTGGCCCGTAAGTCCTCCTCCTGATAGTAGGCCCTTTCATTCAGTCTGATTATGCGACACCGGTCTTTGAAGTTGAACATGCCCCTTCATATATATAGTTTCGAGGTCAATTCCTCTTTCTAACTTCTTTTCTACCGGTTGAGACAAAGTCACGTACGACGAAGAAAAAATAAGCCTCAGTCTTATCTCGAAAGACTCCATTACCGGGACTACTAAAACGATATTTAACTCGAAGACGGCGGCAGTCGCAACAAAGCGAAGCCTTCTTTTTCATTGTCTTACTTTACACGCAGAGCAGGAGCGGATCTCCAGCCCCATCTGCATAGGAGTTATTTGGGTAGAAGAACCCATCGCAAATAATTCTCTTGGTATCGGAGTCTTCTTTTGACAGCTTGTAGATGTGCTTGTCGAGGAGCATGCATAAACTGAAAGACTTGATTCACAGCAAACGTCATGTCGGGCCGGGTCGTGGTCGTACGTCTCCAGTTTGCCGGCCTATCTTCTTTCTGAGATTGACCAGCCAGCTGGGTTGGTTTGGCTATTCTTTTCTATTGAAAAGGAGTCAGCTGTTTGCGCGAGTCATCTTCTTCTAGGCTCCGCTGGACGACACGGCATTCTCGTTTCAATAAATAGATGTCGGCCGTACTTGTGATGGTTCCCAAGGATCCAATATGACCACTTCACTTAGGTCTACGTTGCCACGATATTTTTCTATGGAAGCGGGTGGGCTGTTAGAAGTTCGGCCCGCTTTTTTTTTTGTCGTAGGGGAGGGATTGACCTTTCTAACGCATATTCAGTCGTACCGGCATGGCCCCACTGATTTCTTTTCGATCGGAGCATCCAGCAGCGCAACCCGGTTCTACTTGACTAAGCCCGTGCTCGTCCAAGGAGGGAGTTTGCTTTACCCAACCCCGTTTTTGATAACAAGGCAGAAAGCCCCGACCTGACATTCATTAGTTTCGAATGAAGAGTGCCCTGCCGCACCTACTCCTATAAAAAAGCGAGACTTTACTAAACAAGAAAAGCCCCTTCTATCTTATTAGTAAAGCGCTAACGCGCGCCCTGCAATCAAACTCAAGTTTAGCCTTGATCGATACGACAACCTTACTAATAGAAAGGGTAAAAATGCGCTCAAGCAACCTATCTTACTAATATAATAAGAATTAAGGGCCTAGATTCATTCATCCCTTCCCACTCACACGGGTTCTTCTATTGAAGACCCGGGCGTACATAAGAGCGGAACCTAGATAGAACGCGGAGCACCGGCCCCGGCCGCCGATACTGTTACCATGCTTACCAGCTCTTACCATTGCCGCCTATAGATATAGATGGGAGGTAGGCGGGGCTAGATTGCTTCTCTTCCCCTAACCTGCACATCTTATGTGCGAATAAAAGGAAGCGAGCGGCTCTTCGCTTAGTAGACGGCCGCCGGACGACGACCCCTTCTTGTTCTCGCCCAGCCGCTTCTTTTTTTGTTTTTTTTTCTTTTTTGAGAATCCTAGACTAAAGAAGAAGGCTCCTGAATCAGCGCAGGGAAAAATCCGCAAGCAGGAGAACTTTACTAACCTGCCGCCGGTTACTTTATCAGGGCTCCGCAGGAGAAGAAAGAAGGTCCGGGTCCAATTTCTAATGAAGCGAAGGTCCCCCTTACTCCCTATTCTCTCTTCAAGCTTTATAAAGCTCTAAGAGAAAGGGTTGGTTAAGAACTATTGACTGTAAACGATAGCAGTTACAGTCACTCAATGGATATGCTCGCCTTTGGAATGAAGATGGATGAACAGGCACTTGAGCCTGGAACTGATGAAATTCGGGGAAAACATGGAACCGGTCACTATACCGGGGGGGCGAGACATGACCGCGACTTAAGATTCAAGTACCGTTGAAAAGACTGAAAAACTTAATAGGCTACCGCGGCTCGCTTCGCTTTTGT